CCCTTCTTGAGCCCTTGAAATTACCTCGTGGACCCTTCTTGGAACGCTCAAGGAGCGCTCTTGGGCGCTTTTGCCTATTGGGCTCCTCTTGGGGCGCTCTTTGCAAAGGGCCGTCGAAAGCGAAAAAAGGCGGGTAGGCAAATCACATAGCTTTTCCTTAGGTTTTTGACGTATTTGGCGTCTTGGTGGTTTCCTTGGGAGGCTTCGTGGCCACTTGGAGCCGTCTTGGGGCGGTCTTGGGGCCTCTTAGGGCATATTGGAGGCTGTCCTCAGCTATCTTGAACACTATCGAGCCATCTTGAAGGTCATGTTCGGCTCCCTGAGGCCTTCAAAGCAAGGCTTTCTGAGACATCGCGGCCCCTCCCCTCCAGACTCAGGGGTAAAGGTAGAGGGAGGGGTCAAGACACCCTCCCCGTCCGCAAAGCCGTCTCGCTCACTCCCGCCCGCCCTCCCAACAACATACGTAGCACCCAGGCCTCAGCATGTTCAACGGCCGTCTTTGGATGGATAGCTCCTGGGAACCCAAACAAAACCAATCTGCGCGACGACGGGGCGAGATGCGCCACGCGTGCCAGGTGCCCTACGCGCACCAGGTGCGCCAGGCACCCTCAGGGCCCAAGCGTGCCATCAGCGCGCCTGGTGCGCTGGATGCGCCACGTGCTCCGCGTGCGCCATGTGGGGTGTGCGCGGGGCGGGGGGGCGGGGGGGAGGGGTGGGGTGCTGCGTCAGAAGAGGCGACGCTGAAGAAAAAACAAGGTGCCCGACACAAGCAATCGCCGCTCCCCGCGGCGGTGAACGTCTTTGTCACCTGCAGGTCCTGCACTGCACCTCCTTCCCTATGTTTGCCCCTCGTCGCCTGGCAGGGTCTTCAAGGGCGACCGCGGCAAGCCCACGGCCCACGTCGAGATGAAGGCTGCCAGGGGAAGTGGGGCAGAGAGGATGGAAGTGGAGGGGGAGGCGGAGATGAGAGGAGAGGGACCCCAGATCTCGGACAGCATATTTATATGTATATTTATATTGTATGTATACATATATATATATATATATATATATATAAAATAAAAAAACACATCTGGCGTTCTCCCTCGATTTTCTGCCTGTGGGGCCCGTGATCGGCCCCTGGACCAGGACCAGGACCAGAACAGACGACGCGATTTCGGGCCGGAGAAGTGCCTTCCAGAAGCTGTCGGGACCTCGAATGCCGCTTTCTGAAGCAAGCACATCGTCGGATGTCTGGGAGAGGGTCGAAGGCTAATAAACGGCACGACCACGTTTTTTCCTGGACGTGATGAACCCGAAATGAATGTAGATTCTCGGTCGGGCATTCGGGGATTTGCAACAGCGGTTTGTTAGTCAGGTCAATGGGAGCATGGTCGGTAGTTTCAAGGTGAAGGAACCCCTATCGGTAATTCTATATAATGGCCTTCGGCCCATCCCGCCACCGTGCCCGGGTTGTGGGTCTGAGGCTTCTTCGTTGGGATCTCGTGTGAGGCCTCTCGGGGGCCTCTCGGACCGCAGTTTTCAGGCATCTGGGGGGCCGTTTTGAGGCCTCCTTGAGGGCCTCTCTTGTGGGCCTCTTGGTGGCCGCCTCTCGCCTACCGATTTTCTCGCGGTGGCCGCCGCGCGGCTGGAGCAGCTGGCGATGGCCGACCGTCTGCAGGCCGGGTTGGTCGCAGCCTCTGTGCGAATGCGGAAGGCAAGGGCTCCCCCGAGGGCGCGAAGTTATTCGCGCTTCGCGCTTCGCGGTCCTCGTTCCTTCTCCCCCCTCCTCCTCGTCCTCCTATTCTCCCTTCTGGGGGGGCGGCGCGAGGGCGCGAAGTTATTCGCGCTTCGCGCTTCGCGGAGCGCGAAGCGCGAAGTTGGGAGCCCTAGGAATGCGGAAGGGCCCCGGTGACAGCGCTGAGTCCATCGCTGGGCGCAGGAACGCCCGCGCCGCGTGCAGGGCGCGGGTGGAACATTTTGGTGCAAGCGAGGGCTCCCTCGAGGGCGCGAAGTTATTCGCGCTTCGCGCTTCGCGGTCCTCGTTCCTCCTCCCCCTCCTCCTCGTCCTCCTATTCTCCCTTTGGGAGGGCGGCGCGAGAGCGCGAAGTTATTCGCGCTTCGCGCTTCGCGCAGCGCGAAGCGCGAACTTAGGAGCCCTAGGTTGAAGGGCCCCGGTGACAGCGCTGAGTCCATCGCTGGGCGCGGGAACGCCCGCGCCGCGTGCAGGGCGCGGGGGGAACATTTTGGTGCAAGCGAGTGGTTGATCGGGACAGTCACATCAGGCGAGTCCCCTGCCAGCAGCGGTGGAGCACGAGGCTTGTGCTGTGGCGCGACGGCCGCTGGCTCCAAGCGCGCCGAGACCAGCACCACCGAGGGCGCCCTCGCACGCGCGTCTGCCTCGGGCAACCGGCCGCCCGGTGGGACGAGGGCGTGGCGCTGGCCACCGCGAAGCTCCAGCTGAGCTGAATCCTTGCAGTTTCTATTTTCGACTCCTCCCTCTTCTTCTTCTTCTTCTTCTTCTTCTCCCCCCTTTTGCTTCGCTCCTCGGCTTGGGCGTCTTCCTGCAATTGCCGCCTTTGCCGCGCGTCCTTGGTATCAGTCGCAGAGCCACAGCTGCCGCCATCAGCTGCCCAATCAATCAATTAATCAATCTTGGTGGCCCCTGGGGGCCTCCTGTGGGCCTCCTGGGCGCCTCTTGGAGCCTTCTGGAGCTTTGTTGAGGCGGAGGGTTCGAATTTTCGCATCGTAGTCCCCCTCTTATGCTCCTCTTGGGGCCCTCTTGGGCTGCCTTGGGTGCCCCTTGGGCCTCCCCTTACGCCGTTTTGGGGGCCTCCTGGGGGCCTCTTTGGCTGCCTGGTGGCAATCTTTGCGGCCTCCTGGGCCGTTTTGAAACATCAGGACGCCGAGAAGGCGAAAAGGCTAATGTCCTTCAAAACCTTAGGAACATCAATGATTTTTGCGCCTCTCGGAGCCCTCTTGGGATGGGGCGTCTTGGTGTTCTCTTGGGCCGTCTGGAGGCCATCTAGGGTGTCTTGGAAGAGTCTTTCGGCTACTCGGGGCCCTCTTGGACCGTCTTGGGGGCCTGTTGGGGCCCTCTTGGGCCCGAAGAAGTCACGCGACAAGTCGCGAGGAACCCCAGGGGGCACGCACCCAGCCGAACTCCCAGTAACGAGGATTGAGGCTTAGAGGATAAGGCAATGGACCTGACGGAAGGCGGATCTTCTAGGGAGTAACAAATTGCGCTCGGTAGCTCCCTGCGGTCATTGCCGGGGCTGATCGATCGCGGTCGGTATTCTTCGGAAAGAATCGACAGCGGTCTGGTCTGTACTTCTTCGGCAATTCTTTATCGCTGTCGGCCGCTCACCTCGAACAAGAAACCGCGGCTGGCAAATTCCAGGAATGCTTCATCGCCCGCGGTCGGTCAGTGTATTTTGTTAGTTCCCCCCTTTCCCTGGCGATTCAGCGGGCGATAACCCCCAGGATTAACAACGACGGCCGATATCTACTGTGGAAGATCCAGCCGCGGTCGACCAGTCGTGGTAATAGTAGACCGCTGCCTGTCGTTGTATAATCCCCGATCGCGGCCCTTCATGTTTCAGCGCCCTTTCCAAACGCAGCCGTAAAGACATGTTTTCAGCTGGTGTGCGCGCGCCTGGCTGGACTGCCCCACGGCCAGCTGCTTTGAAATCGTGTTGTTCCTAGGCGGTGGTGTCGCCGAGCGATCTGTATTTTTGACGTCCACCGACGGCTTTTCAGCGCACCATCAGCGATCGCGGTTCGTCACCCTTCAAGAGTCAACCGCGCTCTACGAGGATTTCGCGACTACCCTCCGTTCGGGAGACCGTTTGGATCTTGAGGTGTCCCGGGAGGGCGCCGGTCTCCCGTCCCCACGCGCCTGCCCCAGCGCAAGTGTCTTCTCGCAGACGACGGCGGCGCCGCCACAGGCGCCGCCAGAGGTGCGGGGAGGCGAGCTCAGCGCGGTCCCGAGGAATCCGCGCGGGCCTCCCAGCGTTGTGTTCGTGCCGCTTTCTTTTGCTCTTGCAGGAGTTGTGGGGGAGAGGGAGTGGAAAGGAGAGGAGGTCGAACACCAGAACACGACGTGAACAGAACCCTGACAGGTCCATGCAGATAACTCGGGTCGCAAGGTGCGGCCCCAGGAGTCCCGACCCCGCGGTGACCCTGGGGCCAGCTTTCTGCTCCAGATCCACTTGCTGATGGCCCCGTGTCCGACGAATTACAGACAAGGCGCTGAAATATGGACCGATCTGGGCTTGGGAGGGGCTCTGATGTCTCGGCCGTTCGTGATCCGTGGGTCGGGGATCCCATTCGTGACCGAGGCTCGCCGTGGCCAGAAAAGCCCCCACGCTTGTTATTTGGCGTTCCTGATGGCAGCGCGTCGACTGCACCCCTCCAGAGTCGAGGAACAATTCATGGATTCAAATTGCCACATCGTCGGAACTATGATTTTAGGCCGTCATTCGAGCCGCCTCTATCGGTGGTGCAGGACGATTCTGGACCCCCTGGAGTGCTCTCGGCGAGGCGCAGCTGCTTAAAAGCATCCCTGGGCGAGAAAGCCTCGAGAAACCGACGGACATTTTTCAAACATGGGAAACTGTACGAAAATGTCGTCGTCGTCGTCGTCGTCGTCGTCGTCGTCGTCGTCGTCGTCGTCGTCGTCGTCGTCGTCGTCGTCGTCGTCGTCGTCGTCGTCGTCGTCGTCGTCGTCGTCGGGGATCGGCGGCCGCGATCGATCGGCGTCGGCGATCGATCGGCACCTTCGGCGGCACCCTCGGCCGCGGCCGCGGCCGATCGCCTTCGTCTCGGCGCGGCCGCGGCGAGCGGCGACGCGCGCGGCGGCGGCGGCCGCTGGCGAGCGTCGACGGCGGCCGCGGCCGATCGGCGGCCGTGCGCCAGGCGGCAGGCCGCGTGCGCGCCTCGGTCCCAGCGGCGGCGATGTCGGACGGCACGGCGGCCATGCTGGGAGACAGGGCGAAGGCCTCGCGCCCGCCAGCGCGCGCGCAAGGAGGGTGGGGGATAATTAGGAAGCGGAGGATGGGGAGGAGGAGGGGAGGATGAGGAGGAGGAGGGGAGGAAGAGGAGGAAGGAGGGAGAGGAGGAAGGAGGAGGAGGAGGAACAGGAGGGGAAGGAGGAACAGGAGGAGGAAGAGGAGGAGGAGGAGGAGGAGAGGAGGAGGAGGAAGAAGGATGAGGGGAGGAGGAGAGGAGGAGGAATGAGGGGAGGAGGAGGAGAGGCTCTAGGAGGGAGGAGGAGGAGGAGGAGGAGGAGGAGGAGGAGGACGAGGGGGAGGAGGCGGAGGAGGAGCGGAGCGGAGGAGGAGGAGGAGGAGGGTAGGAGGAGGTTGGAGAGCAGGGGCCAGGAGCAGGGGGAAGAGGAGGAGCAGGAGGAAGAGGAGGAGGAGGAGGAGGAGGACCATAGCCATTTTGGCTCACGCAAGGTACCTTGCGTCCATAGCCGTTGGGTTTCAAGGCCGTGCGGCGGACGGCGTGGCGCTTGCGCCGCGCCAGTGCCGAGCTCGGGATGTCCAGCGTCCCTGGGCACCGCATAGTCTCGGCGGCGAGGGCCGCGGGTGCATGATTGCGCGGGACGGCGCGGAAGGCGCGCCGAGGCGGACAGCTGCTGAGCGCAAGCTTTCGCGCGACTGGGCCGGCGCTTCGGCGGACAGGGCTACCAAGAGCATCTCGGGCGCGCTTGAGGAGAAGCGGAAGGAATTTCTGCAGCTCGAGGCCGCCTTCCGCCTCCTCGTGGCTGACGGGGAGGTCGCCCACTAGGTGCTGGGACTCCTGCCCTGGGCAGGAAGCCGCAGTGGCTCGGAGCAGCGAGGTGCAATGCTGCGCGGCATGCTAACGCCGATCTGAACCTCGCCACAGCCGCGCCCGCGGCCTGCCGCGGTGCTGGGCGCCGACCCCGCCCGGAGGCGAGACGCGAGGCGGCCCTGAAGCCCGATGCGAAACCCTTCGTGCCCGGGCAAAAGTGGCAGCAGGGCATGGGAGGTGAAGAACCCATCGTAATCATCAGCTCCAGGGCTGGGATCCATGCGTGCGTTATTGGAAATGCGAGAAAAGGCAGCAGTGGCAGCGGGAACGTGGAAGAAACCCAAACCAACGCCATCATCTTCAGCTCGGGAAGCAGATCGTGCGAGAACGGGCAGCAGTGGCAGCAGGCTCCGTGCGACGAGGCGCCATCAGCTACAGTGAGAGAAGTGGCCAGACGTCATCTGCTACATTTCGGGAGACAGCCAGAAGTGGAGGCCCCGACAGGCCTCAGCTACAGTACTGGCACCAGCACGTGCGAAAATGGACGGCACTGGCAGCAGTCACAGTGCGGGAAGGCGTCATCAGCCAGAGAACGCGACGCAGTGATGCACCATCCGCTACAGCTCGCGAAACAGCCAAAAGTTGCGACCATGCGGCTAGACGTTATCAGCTACAGCGCTGGGACTAGCTCGTGCGAGAACCGGCGGCAATGGCAGCAGGCTTCGTGCGAGAAGGCGTCATCAGCCAGGGAGCTCGAAACTGACAGACGCCGTCAGCGACAGTACGAGAAGCAGTCAGAAGTGGAGGCCCCGATCCGACCAGACGTCATCAACTCAAGAATTCGGACCAGCTCGCGCAAGAAAAAACCGCAGTGCCAGCAGGCTTCGTGTGCGGGAAGGCGTCACTAGCTGCAGTGCGAGAAGCAATGGGACCAGCTGCAGCCAGACGCCTTCAGCAGTTGCGAGATGAGGCCTTGCTGCCGCCATGCGCCAGCAGCTTCAGCACTGGGACCAGCTCGTGCGAGAACGGATGGCAGTGGCAGCAGGCTTCGTGCGAGGAGGTGCCATCAGCTGCAGTGCGTGATGGAGCCCGACGCCAGCAGCTACAGCGCGAGAGGCAGCCAAAAGTGGAGGCCCAGGCGCAGCCGGACGTCATCAGCTTCAGCCTTGGGACCAGCACGTGCGAGAACGGATGACAATGGCAGCATGTATCGTACGAGAAGGCGGCATCAGCCACAGAGCGAGAAACAGCCAGGCGCCGTCAGCTACAGTGCGAGAAGCAGTCAGAAGTTGAGGCCTCGATGCAGCCAGACGTCATCAGTTGCAGCACTGGGACCAGCTCGCGCGAGAACGGGCGCTGCTACTTCGCCATTGCTG